TTTTTTTTTGAGAGGAAGTCTTACTGTGTCACCCAGGCTGGAGTGCAGTGGCACCATCTTGGCTCACTGCAACCTCCACCTCCTGGGGTCAAGTGACTCTCCTGCCTCAGCCTCCTGAGTAGCTGGGATTACAGGAACATGGCACTACACTCGGCTAATTTTTGTATTTTCAGTAGGGACAAGGCTTCATCATATTGGCCAGGCTGGTCTCGAACCTCTGACCTTAGGTGATCCGCCCGCCTCAGCCTCCCATAGTGCTGGGATTACAGGCATGAGCCACAGCACCTGGCCTGTTTTTGTTTGTTTGTTTGTTTGTTTGTTTGTGTGTCTCATTATGGTTTTGATTTGCATTTCCCTGATGAATGATGTTGAGCTTTTTATCATATATCTCTTGGCCATTTGTATGTCTTCTTTGGGAAATGTTTATTCATTCCTTTCCTTTGCTCATTTTTAATTAGATTCTTTATTTGTTTGTTTGCTTTTTAAACTGTTGTTTGAGTTCCTTATATATTCCAGATATTAGTCCCTTGTCAAATGAGTACTTTGTGAATATTATCTCTCATTCAGGAGGTTGTCTCTTCACTCTGTTGATTATTTTTCTTCAGTGAAGAAGCTTTTTAGTTTAATATAGTCCTATTTGTCTTTTTTTGTCTTTGTTGCCTGTCTTTCTGAAGTCTTAGCCACAAAACATTTGCCTAGAGCAATGTCTTGGAGTGTTTTCTGATTTCTTTGTTTTGTTTTTCAGAATTATTTTGTATCTTACTGAGCTTCTTCAGTATTAATATTTTGTGTTCTTTTTCTGGGATTTTGTTCATTTCTTCTTCATTGGGATGTGGTATTGGTATAATAGATAAATGGCATAGAATACATAGACAAATGGTTTAATAGACCAATGGCATAGAATAGAAAACACAGAAATAAATCCATGTATTTACAGCCAATTGATTTTTGGCAAAGGTATCAAGAATATACATTCAATAAATGGTGCTGGAAAAATTGGATATCCATATGCAGAAGAATAAAAGTAGACTGCTATTTCTCACCATATACTAAAATCAACTAAAGATGAATTAAAGATCTACCTGTAGGACTTAAAACTATAAAAACTACTAGAAGAAAACAGGGAAGGCACTCCAGGACACTGGTATAGGTAAAGATTTTATGACTAAGACCTCAAAAGGGTCAGGCAACTAAGACAAAAATAGAAAAATGGGACTATATTAAACTAAAAAGCTTCTTCATAATAAAAGAAACTATCAACAGAGTGAAGAAACAAACTCTTGAATGAGAGAAAATATTTGCAAAGTACTCACCTGACAGGGGGCTAATCTAATATCCAAAATATACAGGAAACTCAAATAACTCAACAGTTAAAAAAATCTCATTAAAAAGTTGGCAAAGGAAATGAATCAACATTTCTCAAAAAAAGACATACAAATGGCCAACAGGCACATGAAAAAAATGCTCAACATCACTAATCATCAGGGAAATGCAAATCAAAACCACAATGAGATATCATCTTACCCCAGTTGGAATGACTATTAAAAAGGCAACAATAAAAAAAAAAAAACAAAATAAAATAAACAAACCACCACAAATATATGCTGGTAAGGTTGCAAAGGAAAGGGAACTTTATACATGGTTGGTGGGAATGTAAATTAGGACAGCCACTATGAAAAACAGTATGGAGATTTCTCAAAAATCTGAAAGCAGAACTGCCATATCACCCAGCAATACCACTACTGGATGGCCAGTATGGAATACTATTTGGCTATAAAAACAAATGAAATTCTGTCATTTGCTGCAGCATGAATGAAGGTGGAGTTCATTATGTTAAGTGAAATA